CTCTTCCATGTGTGATAATTCTCCCCTGTCAAAGGGGATGTTACCAAAATCCTTCCAGGATCATCACTTGGGTGCAAGTAATATGGAGAGTTTGGGTCGCCTAATTTCAAAGCTTCCCTCGCTCCCCCTGTCGTCTTAGGATTGGCCTTTGTGGTTGTGTCTTCAGAAGCCATGAGAAACTGGTTGTCTGCAGAAAAAACTTCCCGTCACGATCTATTGTTGCAACAAGATCTTGCCGTCAAGCACCTACTGCTCTAATACCATAATAAACTAGGGCAGTAACAGCCATATATGAATCTGGAATGCTATATTTCATTATAAGCAACATTACACCTATATACAACTGGGGTTTGCTACCAGAAAAGGAAATAAAAGGAAATACAAGAAACTGTACAATGCCAATCAATGCTAATCAATACAAAATATTCTTTTGACCATTCCATCCATAATCACCGCCTTATACCATCCATAATCACCGCATCACCGCCCTATATATCAAAAGAAGGAAACAAGACAAATTTTGCAACTTCTAGGTTGTTTCTCCCGTGTAGTACTGTTTCCATCATAGCTCTAGGCTAAAGAGAAAAGGGGTCGAAGCTAAGCCATCTCCTTGCTATGAAAATGATTCGGCCAACAAAAGCTACTTGACAATCCTTTTTTTCTTAAATAAATAAATAATGTGATTTCATGATTTCGTTTCTTTCTTTTTAATCTCTAATCAAGTCAATTCTATTACAATTTCTGAGAAAACAAAGCTTAATGCGGACAAATTTGGAGTTGTTGCAATTAAGAACCCTTGTTGAGTCTCTTGACACTAAACTAGTTTTGTCTGTCGGCAGCCATAATTTCTGAATCAAAACCCGAATATCTACACTAAAACCATATAATAGTCATCTGTTAATCAACTCTTATATTATCCATACATACATTGTTTTAATTGGTCCATAAAAATAAATGAACTAGTTTTAGTTAATTGATGAAGACACGTTAGGGTCATCAGCTAGGGGATGATCTGGTAGAGATCTAGTACAGCCTAATGTGAAAATTATACGGTTTTAACACAAAATTTACATCTAATTTAAAATTAATTAACAATAAGTAAAATAATTCTCTTTGTATTTAAACTACATATATCTTAATTTATAATTATATTCTCAATGTGCACTTTAACAACTAAAATGTTTAAATTGGAGATCTCAAAAGGAATTCAGGAAAGGAGCAAACCAGAGACAGATCAAGAAGGAGGGGGGATAAGAGAAGTGGCATCCAAGATGTCCACTTGATGTCCCAATCAACGGTCCTAGACGGTCCAAGCCCAAAGAGGAGTGTACTCCACATATATTCACCACTGAAATCAATGGTAGTGATTTGACGATGGAGAGGTGGATCATGGCCTTATATCTTTACATGATTGGTCTTAAGACAATGGGATCAATCCTGCAGTGGTCACGTGGCGGCTGGAGTCAAATTCCGTTACTTGTGGGTTAATTTGGTGGGTGGGGACTTGTCTGAACCACAGGAAACATATATATGCAGGGTACCTAGGTTGGGAAGAAACATATGCCTTAAAAATTACTAACATGATCAGTCGGAAGGTTGTTGTTTCAAGTATAAGCTCTGTCCCAATGATCACACATTTTCTCCCCCGAGTTTGAATATTCTATTCTTGATTGTATGAAAGATTTCTTCTTCTTCTTGATTATTTCACCCTTGTTGTGTTGTTGGTGATTTTAGGTTTCTTCCTAATTATAATCAAACTCAAATTCATAAAATTAAAGAGAACAAAAAATTTTTTTTTTAATCTCTGAAAATTAATCCCATTCAAAGAGAGGTAATCATCTACTTTTGTTTTATGATTTTAGTTTTATTTTACATTCAAGAATTTGAACCATTGACATTGACTCTGAATTAAATTTTTTCGGTTAGTGAGTATTCACTCAGTGAAGTTCTTATTAGTATTTTAATTTCTTTTTGCACCAAACAACGGAGATTATACTATATATTTACACTAATTAATTACTACTTCTAATGTTCATGAATCATGGTGTATTTAAGACGTGTCAGTGAGTTAATTTACGTTACCGCCAGTTATATTATATTGTTTTTACTAGCAAAAAGGAGGTAATGGTGGTGGAGATGGAGCGATGGCCGGAGCAAATGGAGATGGGTTCTGTTTTGGAGGAGAAGGCTTTAATTTGGATATATGTGAAATCGAAGTAAAAAAATTTACAAGGCAAGTATGAGGGCGGTGAATTTAGTCAAAAGTAAGGATGATGATTAGGTGGTGTGCACGAGAAGTAAGAACCATGTAACCAGAGTTGGGCATGCATGTATGGGTTGTTAGGATGCATGCATGATGCTTTGGAGAAAATATATTCCTATACCAAAGTGAGTGTATTTGGATATAGAGCTTGGTTTTTGTTATATAAATTGGAACTATTTACATATTGTGAGGAGGTGAGGAGGGATAGTGTTTGTGTCCCTCTCTATATTATAAATGAGAATGACACATACACCCTATAATATATGTTTATGCCTTTACTATTATGTTTTGCTAATGTGTGCTGGCATGTAATATATGTGAATGATATGAGTGAGATGGGCTTGTAATTTTGAAATATAATGTGAGATATTGGCTTTAAGAGGTGGAGTACCCTTGTATTTTCATTATGAAAGAAAAAATTATCATGTCTGCTATACCAATTTAGTAAACAATAAAAACTCTATATAAAATAATCAATCACATACAGCAACAAACAATAAAAAATAAGTCATGAATATATATGAATGAAAGAGATCACAACAATTATAGTGCAATTAACAAAGCAACAATCATAAAGATGAAAGAAAGAAAGTAAAAGAATTAGCATTTCGCCCACATTATAATGTTACATATATAGAATTATAACCATTTATACAGTTATGATGTGTTATAAAATAATTAAATATATATTATAGGTGTGAATCCATAAATGAAAAGAATCATACAATAATATTCCTTGATTATAAATTTATAACACCACATAATGTTATAATTATATATATTTTTTCCCAAATCCTTTTTTCTCTCAAATTTCTTTACCCATTAATTAATACAAAATTTTTATTTACCAAAAAGAGAATGAGAGCGATCTAATAAAAATTGAGATGTTCTCTTGCTTCAGTCCCTGTCCCTGAAAATTCCTTAATTACAATCATCGCTCCATTAAGATATCAATATAGTCTAATTAAGTAACATGTCTATACTAATAATTATTGGTTAATTTAATTAATTAATTAACTGATCATCATCATATACCTATAGGTCTCCACCAACCTGCAGAATCATACAAACAATCTGAATATAATCAAACTCATAATAGAAACCCATGTGCAATAACGCCCTATGTTCAGTTATAGTTTACCCCAACCATAGGAGTTAGGACACTGTCTTGATTTTTCAGTTATGGAAGCTCTAAACCATTAATTAAGACAATATTTATATATATTATTTTTCTATCAAACCAGTCGGTTGTAGTTAGTTATAACTTATATATGTATCTTCTTTTTAAAGTAACCTAAGCACGACCAGAATCAAACTAAAGATGCGCGTGCACATGTTTTGGAGGCACATGTATCATAAAATTATTTAATTAATTTCTTAATCTGTTTTTTTATATGCCGAGGATCTTTTGAGTTTTGATCATGTTTGTTTGTTTGTTTGCCTTTTTTTTTTTTTTTTGGTTATCATGTTTGTTATTCTCATCTCATGCATCTATAATGATTATGTGAAGTTAGGTATGCTTGGTCAATGATTAAAACCGAAAAATTATTTACTTTCTTGCGTTTTTTTTTTTCTAGCACATTTTGTATTTTTCATGATTTTTAATATTATCATTCACTTTGTCAATTAAAAAAAAATGTTTTTTTTAGTGTATGTTTGGCTCAATTTCTCAACTTCTTTGCTTTAGAAAAAGCTTGACCCGACAAAATTTTATAATATGTAATTATATGTAAGATTTTAATTTGTCCTAATTTAAGAAAAATTAGACTAATATATAAACGGTCGGATGAGTGTCGTTTCCCTCAATATTTGCTTGAGCAAGTCCTTTTACCTTCAATCCAACAACCTCAACAAGAGTAATTATTGTTATATAAGGGGTTAGAACAGAAGACGTTGCATTACATTACTCCTCAGCCATTTTCGCAGAAGCAACTTAATTAATTTCATTGTGAAGATTCATCCCGTAACTGTATGCAAGTTATACTACTTGTAATGGGTTGAAATATTTCTTGTACTTTCTAAAAATAAAATTTTTTATCATTAGCAAAGTGTGTGTATATATATATATTTAGATTAGTATATAGGTGATTATAATCCGAGATAACAATGATGGTAAAACAAATGAAGAAAATTATCTTCTTCATGGCATCTCTGTTTCTCTTCAAAAGGTTATATAAGAGGCAAGAAATGAGTGAAACTAGCTAGCATTGAATCTGAATCTCAATTTATCATCATGGGTGATCGATGGTTAATTCTATATATGGTACAATAGGAATTGCACGCGTATGGAAATTTCTCAAGAGAGAAAAAGGCACTTTCCAGCGATGGTACCATTGCTGGCATATAAGAGGTAGTCGGGACAGCAACCTTAAACACGGTAATTGATTTAGCTCGCACGGTCTCTGCTGGGTATGCATATGCTTCCTGCTGCCAATGCCATGCATGTTCTGAATTAATTCCATCCAGATATATGTATATATTTTTCTGATGATATCATGCATGATCTCACCAACCTATAGTGGCCTGTCCTATCAACTTAAGTCACTTTGATCACCAAGAAAAAACCAAACTTAGATGAATGAAATTAAAGGACTAGTTCATATATGGGCTATGATTTTTTTTTTTCTTTTATATTTAGTGGGCCTTATTGTCTGCAACTGTATGTGAAAAACAATGAGATTTTTCCTAATTAATTTTAGGAGGGCGGCCAGGCCTTTTGGTCTCTCTCCTTTCAAATTATATATATCTTGGAAAATGCATATTTCATGAAATTAACAAATAAAAGTAGATGTTGTGCATAACCACCAACTAGCTAGTGATACATATATATATGTATATATATGTATATGTATATATTTTTTTTATTGTGCTTCACAATTTTAAAACATATAAATAAGAATTGATTTTAAAATGCGTTAATAAAAGTTAATATGTATTAACTTATATAACTTAATATCCTTATTGAGGTTTGCCTCCATCTTCATTAAGGTTTATTCTATCACTATACAAGAGGTCAGGCAAAATGACTTTAATGCCATATATAATAATTAGCCCACTATAATAATATTGTTTGTTTTAACCTATTGAGCTTCACAATTTTAAAATACATCAATAGATGTTGACCTATATATCTAATATCATTCTCATACCTTGTCGATCTAGGATATACTTGGGGGTTAATGAATAATATCACTAGTAAGTTAAGTCATCATTACATTTAGAATTCGAGTCTTTTATGATATGAATGAGTCCAATGTTAAGAATAAAATAAGAAATACTTAGCAACTTAAATGACTCAATGGTAATTTTTTTTCATGATAATAAGAAATTTTAGGTTCAAATCACATAAAATATAATTGAGATGGGTTAAAGACTTAAAAGATAAAAAGGTTATCCACCATTATGTAAAGCAAAATAAGAAAAAAAAAAAAGTGCTATATATTCAATGAAAAATAGAAAGAAAATAAGGAAACCACCCCCCCCCCCCCCCCC